AAATCTTGAACAAGCCGAAGATCCAATCAAGAGCCCCCGGCAGCAGCTAGCGTAAATGTCCCCCTCTAGGACGGCTTTCACGCTAATAGCTAATAATTTTCAAGTAACCAATGCCTCGTCAGATCCTCCTGTTTTGAATTATAAATCTACTTTCTTTATGAAAGATAACGGGTCACATTACTATAAACATTATTTTTAGTGTGTATACGTGTTGTGATGAACAGGGCCGTTGGGTACTACCTTTGAAACCCCTGACCGGGTGGATGGGGCCAGCCTGATTGGCTTTGCGACCCTCGCCATCTTATCAACATTTTTTCTACCTACATTTATATACGTTAAAAATGAAAGTAAGCCCAACTGACTATTAAAGGAGGAACATTTTCGCGGATTTTGACGTCATTTTGGGGATTTTTTTCCCAAATCCATGAATTTGTTTTGCTCATCATAAGACTAAAAAACACTATAAGAAATTCATTATTTTTTATTCATAATGTTGAATGTGTTAAAACTATTCAACTTTTTAACAAGAAAAGTCTCAAGTTGATGTTAAAAATTGCCGCCAAACATTTTCGATTTATTTAAGATGGAATGATCTATTATGACATGTCTCTAATTTGTATTTAGATACATTGGATTTATTTTCAATTTTTCTAGTTGAATTGTTCACCTACATTGCATATAAAACATTATTGTACATAATTAGGTTACAGTAAAATTTGTATTTTATATGAATATTACCTTATGAAAATTGAGGTGTAGTAGAGTGGGGGGTGGGGTCCCGTATCATAGATTCAGGAGAAAACGACACCCTTTGCAACGACCCTGATATTATCTACTTGGAACCCGCAATCCTAAAATTTTGGATTCTTAAATTTTCATTACTGCGATTGTTTCCGACGATTTTCTACGTGATTTTTGTGACGAATTATTTTGTACGATAACAGTTTTTATAACTTGGTAATAAATTTGGGAATAATCGAAATTAATTGCGAAATCCAGCGAAAGTCACCCACGAAATAAAATTCATTGTTTGTACGGAAATTAAGGAGCCACTTACATCAAATTGTCTTTGAATTAATAGATTCAGGAGAACACGACACCCTTTTGCAACGACCCTGATATTATCTACTTGTTAGACGTCTAACTGGAAAAGTATAAAACTTTTAAGATTGCTAACATCCATAGAGGAGGCGAGTTAGGGATCTAACAATTATCATACAATCAAATATTAGCGAAGTATTGCTGCCATATCTGGGCTGGAGCTAAACAGTCATCTCTTTCCAGCTTCGACAGAGTTAAAAAGGGATTACGCAGTCAGTTTTTTAAATCATTTCACCCCAAGCAAGACAACAAAGTCCCTAGGACGCAAAGGGGTTGTTGAGTGTTAGAGAATATGAGAAATAACTACTATTAAGAAGAGAGGACGATAAAAGAATTATGAAGACAGAAGATAACGATTGACATTGTATTTATATTTTTAACGATCAAAGTTGACTGGGAAGCAAGAATGCAGAAGAGAGTTTCACGAGCGAGAAATGCGAAAGAAGAAACTGTTAGCATAGAACTTACGGTTACATTAAGTCATTTCAACTAGAAAATGATGAGACCTTTCTGCCAATCAAGTACTGAACTTAAACTCATAATGTCCAGGTACCACAGAGGAAAATTAATCAGAACAATTATCATAAAAGTATTTACAGAAAAGGCACAGGGAGGCTATGTTACGGCGGTGGAAAAAGGACGGAAACTGAGGTGCTAGTTCAAGACCAATAACATTGCAGATTCTTGTTTGGATTTCTAGAGAGAAAAATTGTCTAGCTTGACATAGTGAACAATACAAAAAGCCAGAAGAGAGTTCTACAGGCGAGAAGTGCGATAGAAGAAACTGTTAGCATAGAACTTACGATTGCATCTAGCCATTTCAACTGTAAAATGATGAGACCTTGCCGCCAACCAAGTACTGCGCTTAAATTTGTAATGTTTAGGTACCATAGAGGAAAGTTAATCAGAACAATTATCATAAAAATATTTATAGAAAAGGCACAGGGAAGCTATGTTGCGGCTGTGAGAAAGTGACTAAAGCTGTGATGCCAGGTTAGGACCAATAACATTGCAGATTCTTGTTTGGGTCTTATTTTCCGCTCTGCAACCCCTTACTCAAACACACAATATCGCAAGCCTATTGCTACTCTATCGCTATTTCCATGGGAACAGTTCTGACGCGCTACATTCATTCATTCCACCAGTTCAGATCGTCACAGCTAAGACCTAGTATACTATGGACACAGAAGCGAACCATCCTCTTTCCCTTCGTCTGTATTCTATTAATAAGAAAAAAGTTCAGATAGCTTCTTCCTAAGAGCCGTCACTGTGTAAAACAGACTCCCGAGGGGTTGCTTCTTCGATCACTACAATCTTAACGTCTTCAAGTCCAGGGTCAACCGCTATCTTTGCTACATATTTTCATAATCTACAATTCTTACCTCCGTAATGCAACCCCATTCAGTAAATCTCTATCTAGAGAGGCTCTTGGGTCGTATATTGAGTGAACACTAGCATAAAAAGTAGATGCCTAAATGATCGAAGACTTGGTGAGTATTTATTTTTAAAGCTCCGTTTTAAAGGAACGGGACTGCAAATTATCCCCACCGGTAGATCGGATATTAACGCTCGCTTTGTATAATCTGCCTGGACGTCTCTGGCCCAAATCCTTTAGTTCAACGACTTCAGTTAATATTTAGGATAATCGATTAGAAGCCACACTGAAAGAAAAATTGTCAAGAGAATTAGTATTAATTCACATTTCGTATGTCTCCCCTTACATGGAATTGATGTGATGCATTGAATTTCTCGCTGCTTGCAAACATCAACGATGTTATAGGAAAATATTTAACTCCGTAGATTTCAGCAAATGTTTGCAACATGATTTACGAATATGTGTAAATGCCAATGCCTGTAAATGCAATTTATGGCTTACTAATGATATACGCGCGTAAGTGTGAGTCGAATTTTTAATTAAGACAGAGTGGTTTCATGGGGTTCTTATTAAGCGTCAGGTCGTCCAATGTTTGTCTTGGCATATATTCGACCATGTTACGCAGATGAAGCACACAAAATGACATGAATACACTAAATAGATTGGCGATCATGGTTTTTCATTATTATCTGTGAATTGCCATGATGTCTTGTGAAAGATTGGTTTCTCGTTGCGTTCTCTATGGTTGTGAATTCAGAAAAATCTTTGTAGAGGTTGCCGTCCATGACTGAACAAACCAGTCTATCCTGCTATTTAACCTATAGTTGAGGGGAGAAGATTTGGATTCGTGCCATTCCAAAGAGCAGTAGTCGGAAAATAAATGCAGCAGACGAGCTTGAAGTTTTAGTTTTATAGCGTATAACCTTTTCCAGGTTCTTCAATGGCGAAGTCTGTCAGTTTGCACGAGAGTCGAAAAGGTAGACATCAGAGCATTGTCCACGAGAGTCAAAAAGATAGACATCGGACTGGGTTGCACGAGAGTCGAAAAGGTAGACATTGATATAGTAAAGAGTCGACCCTGTTGTGTAGAATTTTAACTGTCTGCAAGTGTCTGTTGTCAATAATTTCTCGACCGCAACTGACAGCGCTACCGAAATTTAAACATGGCAGGTCACTTCCTTTTTCCTAACGTACAGCTGTTACATTAATCGCATCCAGGGAAGGAGCAGTGACAAATGTTTGTTTTTTTTGGGGTGGGGGGCAAAAACTTTAGAATTTAGCCTTAAGCTATCAAAAGCTGCCAATATGGTTAGCAGGAAGAACATTTAAAATTTTCCAGTACTTCCAGATTGACAGAAATCATCTTTGAAATAACAGGGAACATAGTATTACAAATGAAAGAAAAAAAATATTAAAGAACTGAATGTCTACCCGGAAATTTCTTTATCGTATTTTGTTAAAATAAAACCCTGTAAAAAATACTGCAACTGGTAAAGTTTTGGTGGTAGCCATCCACCCCGGAAGATCGGCTGATACGGTCCTGATATCCTTTTTGCATAATACAGTAATAATAAAATTAACTGTATAGGGTAATGTATTAGGGCGAGATAATTTGTGAGTTTGAACGTGTGTACAATATCGGCGAGAAAACAATACTTTAGATTTTAATAACAACTAGCAGCATGATCCGGCGTTGCCCGTGCTTGATTCAAAAATCGTACAACTCATACAGCAATCGCTATCACTTGACTTAAAATATTTTTGCCCTTCCTTACCTTTAAAGGAGTGCCCTTTGCCGTGCTGATGTTGCTACATGCCTTACTTCTTGCCTATCTCATACTGCGAATTTTTTCTAAACTCTATACTAAACATTAAATCTGTTACGAAAAAAGAACTAAACAAAATGAACACAAAACGATCAGCTTTAAAAAAAGGCTGGAACTGGAAAAAGCGATTGAAAAAAGAATGTTAACAACAAATACTTTTTCACATCCAACCCAGTTCAGCGTTGAGTTTAAGCAATAGAATGAGCCAAGTGGAGTAAAGTGCCATGCAGATTTAAATTTTTCCCACTTGTGACGAATGCAGCTATCGATTTTTTTGCATGCTAACATGCTAGTTAACATTCGTGTCAATCAGCTGTTGGCTCTCACTCTGGCCAGTAGAAAATGGCCGCAAACTACATGAAAACTACCGTAGAAGCATGAAAAAATCGATTATTTCCACTATCGATGGGAGTTGAGAAATGTAAAGTCGGCCTTCGCCTTCCCGCTAACTTGGAACATGTGCATATAAATTTTGGTGCAAATCCGTCGAAAATCGCGGCCGTGCATTCGTTACATACACACACAGTCTTTTATAGATATAGATATTTATTAAGCGTTAATGTTTTATGAAAGATTATTTGTAAATAGGAATCTCCCATAATCTGAATTCCATAACTCAGGATCTTAATGTTTGTTTACTTGTTCTTGTTTGCTTCTTTCTTTCTTTTTTTTTTTTAAAGCGTCATTCTTTTTTTCAGTATCCCCCACTCTCTCTCTCCCCACTCTCTCTCTCTCCCCCACTCTCTCTCTCTCTCCCCCAAATACTCCATTGCGTTTTTATTCTCTGGTTCGCTTCAATGTACATTGCAAGCTCACAAGGAAACGGAAGGTGAAAATAAATGCCACAGCTAGAAGTTGAGGGCCCAAACCCTGTCTCACGATTATTTCGTTGTTTATTCAGAGTTTCACTTGAACGGTCAGTGTGCGTAGGTAGGTATGTTACTAGGGGACAGCTTCGGCCTCTTCTGACATCCCAGACTAACAGATCAATCTTTCTCTCTAGCTTTCTCCTATCAGCACTCTAATCACCACAACATTACGACGCATGACTGATATTACAGGCGGCATCGAAACTACCGCGAGGTGCTGACCATCCCCGTTAATTGCTGATCCAGAACTCTACTATTTCAATCCCAACTGTGACTGTTAGTAAAAGCCTGTGACCGGAAATTTTCAATGTCCGGCTTTGTTGTCACATGTTCCCGAATGTTTTCATTTATTTTCGCAAAAAGTTACCGAGTTTGAAATAATATGAGACAAAGAAAAACATTATTCGGGAGAGAGAACAATAAAAGAATAAACTGAATCAATTGCTTCGTCTACTGTAAGGAAAGTTGATTCACTGTGTCGTGCCAGGCAGTTCTTCTCGTCAGAGTCCATCATGCAGATTTGTAAATCTACCATTTGTCCGTGCATTGAATACTGCTGTCATATTTGGTCTGGTGCTCCTGCTGTATATCACGAGATTCTTCAAAGAAGAAACTTTAATGTAATTGATCCTTAGCAGGCATCTCAGCTTCAATCACTTTCTCATTCACTTGACATGGCTTCCCTTTGTCTTTTCTACAAGTATTTTCATGGCAACTGTTCTGATAGGCTTTTCTCCTTAGTGTCTGGACTGCATGGATTTAAGCGTGCTACTAGATTGGCAACTAGGTCTCACAGTTTTACTGTTGAACAAGTTAGATACAATCGTAATTTCTAACAGTTTCTTTTCTCGTACTTCTCGCTCGTGGAACTTCCTTCCGATTTCTTGCTTCCTTGTCAACTACAATCTTCAAAAAATTAAATACAACTTGAATCGCCGCCATCTTCTGTCTTCCTGACTCCTGTTCCGTTATTGTCTTTTCCTCACTTCTTCTCCTTCTCTTTCACTCGCTGTATCCTAGTGGCGTTATCACCTTGCTAGGGGTGAAATGATTTATAAAAAATAGCTAAAATCAGTCTTTTTATATTGATACATATGTCTTCAGTCAATTCATAATTCAGTTCATAAGCACATGCTTAGTAAGTGGCCCCTTTTGGGGTGGTACGTCTTGTTATTCCACAGTGGATGTCGTCTGCATAAAATTGCATTTTTTGTAAATATATTTTGTTTCGTTGAATTCATTAAAGGAATTTTTCTACTTTCTGTCTGAGCCACTTTATTTGTCTCCCTCAGCTAGCAATGATATCACGATTTACTTAACGACTAATTTGAAATAAAACAATAAGACTCGTACCTAGAATCCGTCAATATTTAATAACGCCCAATTCTACTAAACATTTTTCCCTTCTTTCTTTCGCACTTTGTTCTTTCAAATTCATATAAATCTAGGTTCATTTTAGAATTTCAAAAACTAAGCAGTTTACTAACCAACTGGCAAAAGTTTCAAACTATTTTATGTGTTTTTACTCATCTTCCAGTAAATTTAATTATCTTCATTTAACAAATATTTAATATAATAATTTATATTTAGTAAATAATTCATAATTAATTTATAATTTAATAATTTATCGTCATCCTCGTCGGCTTTATCAATTTCTTTTTGAATGGAGTTTAACAAACGGACGTTTCAAGGGAAGTAACTTTAAAGTAAGTTAATACCTCATTACCTCCCTTGCATATACAACTTAAACACGAAAATATTTTAGAACAAGTAGTTTTTTATGGACTAATTTTATTGTTTTTATGACAATGCCATGATTTGTAAGGATCTTTTCTGTTAATTCATCTCAAAATAAAAGAATTTATATTTACTAAAATTCCCTTCAAAATTCAGAAATGTCCTTTAAAATTTGTTCAAAAATGCATTCATTGTTATTTTGTCCTAAGGAATTCACACGGGTACTTTCGATTGTTTGCTTGTAAGCTGATGTTTCTGGGTCAATGAAATGTGGTTTACAGTCAGCTAAATAGAATAGGGATCATCTTTCAAAGATGTCTATCCTTTCCAACAGTTCGACATAATCTTTGTCCCAGGTCAAATACAGCTTCGAAATGTGCAAAATTTAAAAAAAAAAAAAAAAAAAAAAAAAACAAAAAAAAAAAAAACAAAAATCAAAACAAAAAAACCAGCTTTGATTTAAAAATGAAAAAAAATATTATAGTTTGATAAAAGACAAGGATTTTGAAAAAGACAAAAAGAGAAAACAAAGGTGCAACTGTAGAGGCGTGTTAAGAGGAATAACCATTGTGGATGTTTATTTACGGCTGTATGAATAACATGACCACACAATTTATATTAAACGTAAAATACCACAAAGTATAAAATACAAGAAGGAACAAAATGGTTTTAAAAAGCATAACATTGTATTTATTTGTGTTGATGTACATGCATAGAAGTTAAAGATCTGATGGAGTTACGTCTCTTAAACTGGGAATATTTTTATCGGAGCTCACGAAGTTGAATTAATTAAACTGTAGTTTTAGTAGAATAAAATTCTTGTTGCATGTTTGGAAATGTTCTGTATGTTTGTAATGTAGGCTGGAAATGTTTGTGATGGTTCGTACGTACATGAATGCGTGAATATGCTTTACCGTCTGACCGTCCATGGTCGAGACGAGAATGCTGAAGATCACATCTTCGCAGGAATTTGGAAGAGTAAAAGAGAATGAGCGAACTCGTGTCTGTCATTTATAGATAATGTAATCACGCAACAGGGTCAAATGAATTTGGGTGGGAAACTTTGACTTAGTCACGCGCTGGAAAAATATTTTTTGCGTGGGTGGATTGCGACGCCCACTTGTGTGTTTATTGACTAATTAGCGAGCGAGTTTTGGGGAGACCTAAGAAAGCCTCTGGGATCCGATTCTCCCAAAAGTGCACAAAATCCACTACATGAAAATAGAGCGATTACAAAATTGTCGCATAGTTGCGATTTGTAAATTGTCTATTACAAAGAGTTGATTTATTCCAATGAATGCTTATTGTATAATTTGAATTTGTGTAAGTATGTATGTATGTATGTATGTGTGTGTGATGATGATCATTACACAACCACGTTTAACTTAGTCAGTGACCCCTTAAAATATTCAACTCGTCACACGAAATCCATGAAAGCAATTTCCTCGCTAATAGTTAATTTTTATTAACATAATATCGGCTGGTGGAATTCAATTACTTTTAAACTCATCAAGTGACGAATTGAGTCAAGGTGGAATTTATAAACTCATTCACTTAACTTCATTGGAAATCGACACAATAACAGTGAAAATGAGATGAACCAAGTTTTTCAACGCAACAACGAACCTTGTCACCCAATTTCAGGCTTGACGTTAATTATTTAAATTAACAGAAACCCAACTTGCGTAAGAACACTCACTCCAACAATTTATTCCACTACAAACATCTCCGGTCAAAGAGCGAAAACTCTGTAGAAATCACAGTAAGTCAAGAATAATACTTTTAAATTTAATATAAAAACAAAACTGTTTAATTTTCCTACAATAACAATAATACTTAAGCACACTTTCTCATTTTCATACATACAATTCAACAACTTCAAATCTTACTTTATTCACACAATCAAGAACTCTAAAGTGTTTTCAACAACTTTATTATATATTTTGTATTTGTTGTGTAGATCGTAAGTACCAAATATAGCGTCGGGTCGATTCACTAAACGTAGCAGGAAGACCAAAATATATAGGTACTACTACTATTTATATTAATGATTCTTCCACGTACAGGATCCAAGAAATAACAACAACAACTCCAATTTGTTAACTAACAAATATGTATTGAATAAAATACAACAATAGGCATGAAATAAAATCGTATTCACAATGTAGATTAAAGAGAAGAAAGTTCTTTCCCTTTGTCAACCGTTTGAAGAAAGTTCTCTTGTGACATGTTCCGAAATAATTGTTAGAGCAAAGTTTGTATGTGAAGAATGAATAATACGAAGAATACAGTTTCTTGAAATGTGTTCGGAATAAATTGCTTTGAAATCAACAAAATTCTGTTTGTTTATTTCTTTCTCTTGATTTCATTCGTTTACGAAAAATGTAGCGTTAAAGAAACCGCGTCTCGACCCCTTGCAGTCGGACGCTATGAAAACATATCCACACACGTACACATACACCTACGTACGAAACTTTCCAAACTACATTACAAACATACGAAACTTTTCAAACTTCATTACGGACATTAAAAACTTAATGACAAGCAACAGAAAGTTAATTACGAATATTACGGAACATTCACTCCTTCAACTCTTTTGAAGTTAAAAGTTTACTCAACATATTCTAAGCTTTACAGGATTCTTTCAACTCTCTAACAGTGAACATTTTGAGCGGCAAGTTCATCCAACTTTTTATGAGCTCAGATAACAGAGTATTTAATTGGTAAAGACTTCCAGTCGAAGGGAATTAACTCCTATTCATGAATATCTATTCAATCACACTATTGAATCTTGCGGAAACTTAATTACGAACATAACATTACTGAACATTCACTCCTTCAACTTTTCTGAAGCTGAAAATTTATCAACATATTTTCAGCTTTACATAATTCTTTCAACTTTCTCACAGTGAACTCAAAATGCGGCAAGTTCATTCAACATTTATGAGCTCAGATAAAAAAATATTTCATTAGTAAAAACTTTAATTCAGTCAAAGGGACATAACACCAACAAAAAATAGTAACCCTTATGCTTGTACATCATTATACAAATATAAATATTAATCTTCTAAAATCGTTTTGTGTTCCTTCTTGTTGCTTACACATTCGTAAAGTAAAAAATGTACGAATTTATTTAAGTCGTTATACCGCTACAAATTCACATTGTTTTTATTCTTTTGAAGAGATTCTTTTATTGCATAAAGACATACTTGAAGAATCGAAAAATGTAAAGTTTTATGCTATTTT